TTATCACAGGCTCATATGAAGCTGTGCTTACTCATGCTTGCAAAGCATTTAAAGATTAGAGAGAGCAGCGTCTGTAAAACCATAAAGAATACTTTGTTATCATTATTATTTCACCACAGCAATAGGGAAATATGCTTTAAAAATGCTTCAGTTCGTTAGTTCATAACTATCTTTTAGCCGCTAAAAGCAAAAACCAGCAAGCTGCAAGGTAGCAGGTTCAGACTTCATTTGTCTCAATATAGGCCTATTTGTTTGCCTCTACCACAGGTGGTGATTACTTTTTACACTTTTTTCATTAAAAAGATAAGAAGTAGATGCAGAGGTGAAGGTAAGAAGTAGATGTAAAGTAAAAGAAAATAAATCTGAGACTCATCCTGAAACATCTGTGTCCTAAAACGTGACCCTCTAGCCCACATCCCAAGTGGCTATCCTTCTCCCTGCATAAGCTTCTGAGGTCTCATTAATGCACCAGGCAAGTCTACACAGCAAAGGGCTGTTAGAGATCCTGAGCAGCTTTGAGAAAACTGGCTCATCTACACGGTGCGTTGCAATGCCGTGCACGGATTCTAGCTTAGATCCCAGAGGCAATATAGCCGTGTCTGTATAGCAAAGCACCCACGCTAATTAGCCCTGCCCCTGAGGATGCTGCAGGAATGGAGCTAATTAAGTATGCTGAGAGGCACCTCTGTTAATTAGCCCAGGGAGAACAGAACAACACTAACGGAGCTTCCGATCATGGCATTGGCTCAGGGATCTCTATAGTGTATTTGGCTGTGTAGCATAGCTGAGCCCACAGCTCTCTTGAGCACCATCTGAAGAATCTAAATACCTTCTTTCAATCCAGTCTCACCATCTGACTCTGCTTTTGCAAGTATTCATAGCTGTTTTTCTCTTGATGGTAGGAAAATTAAGTAAATAGATTCAAAAGAATGAAGAAAAAAAGCCAGTAAAAACCACACTACAATAATCTAGTGTTATTAAATTCAGCTACAGGTAGTGACATGCCTATAGGGAAGCACTGGATATTCCTAACCCATCTTGATAAAAGGCATACTTTGGCTAGTGGTGCATGTTTTGCAAGCAGTGTATCTCTAAAGGTATGTTAACTCAAGCCAACTCAGTTACCAACACAGACTATGATACATTGAGTTGTAGCCATGCAAGATTTTCCATTACTAGTTCAGGGCTGAATGAAATCATTGACGCACAGGTACACACCTAGGAAAGACGAGCAGGAGTTTTGTCCCCTTTCCTTCTCCCCTGGCTGCACCACGCGTCAGGTCAGGGCTGTTGTGGCTGGTTCTCTGCCTGCAGCAGAGCCCAGCTCACCAAGGATCACTGTCCGTACAGCACGCAGCCCACACACGGCTGCGCCAAGCACCGCACGCAGCTATGCCTCCAACTCCCTGGGTTGCTATACAACAGCACAGGGGTAAACAACGCCCTGTCTCCACTACAGCCAGCACAGATAGAAAGATGGTGATGTGACTATTGTTAAGGGAACGCTTCCAAATGCCTTTCCAACCACCATATCATAGGTACGCATAGAAACGCTGAGTTTATGCCTTTCAGAGAGAAAACGTGCGTGCTTTATGCCATTCCAGGAGGGGAGTTTATGGTTCTTATTCTTGAAAAATGGAGCACAGTGATTTTCAATTACCTTCCAGGCATGTTGTAAAGGCACCCATTTCTTTCCCATATGTTTCAGAAGAATGTTTTTGCACATGGGTAACTTCTGAAAAGGACATAAAGCCTTTAAGTCCCAGTTTGAGTTCTTGATCAAAATGCAAAAATGCATGGTGAAATTTTAAATCAGCTTCAAAACCTTATAACATGAAGCTGCTGGAACCATTGAGAAAGTCAAAACTTTTAAGTAGCTATTAGGAAAACGTAAATACCAGAGAAGGCAGAGGTTTCTTCTGGAATTAACGTGGTTGTGGTAGAGAGAATACTTAGGTTTCTTCTAAAGATTGCTACATTTTAGGTACATAAAAGCAAAAAAACCATGGCTCTTATCTTTCAGGTTCCCAATAATTTGCTATTATGATATGAAGGTGGGGGTGGTGTATGTAATATTTCTGAAAATCAGAGTTCAGTATTTAATCTTTACTTCTTATCCTTTAGAAAAAAAATCTTAAAAGTATGGTTTATGTAACTTTATGATAATTGTCAAAATAATATAGTGTTCTACAGCATTTACTAATGCAAACTGGGTTATCTCACACAACCTTGACTTTACAACAGGGGTTCTGGATATATACCAGACACACAAAATGGTCATTAACTTGATATGATATGAGAAAGGTGTTGAAGGGAATAACTTATATAGTAGTAATAATGGTTCTCTCTATGAACAATTTATCTTGCTTTTGAATGGCAAAAAAGATACTTTAACTTGCCTTGTCTCTGGGCAACTTTAGAGTGACCTAGAGACTTCTCAGTTTCAGAGTTCAAAATTGGCCCCTCCTTTTATACTTGGCTGATGCTTAGACCAAAGCTGTAATGCATCACAGTGTCTCACAGAGACCTAAAAAATAGAAGAGACTGAAATCCTAGGCAGGAGCATCCCGTAACTCTATAAAAGTCAACGCTGTGTCCCAAAATAATGAAAATATCTCAACTTTGTTTCCATCAGTATAAATAACTCAGATTTTCATCTTTACTGCAGAACTTGGCTAATACCCTTCATTTTGTTCAGTTTTACATCCACCAACAACCATTTTCTCCACTTCTACCTATTCAAAACAAAACCTGAAGCACAAAGGTTATCAACTCCCAAAACCTCTTGTGCACAGACAGACTCACAAGGTCTCTGTCAATGAACAACAGCTAATCATTCATTCTCATTATACTGGCACATAAATCTTCTGAGTGACCAGGGGAACCAGAAGCCTGCTACCCTCATAACATTCCTTGCATGCCTGCTGAAGGCGTTGTGTCTATACATTGCCCACGATTCCCAGAAATACAGAGTTAAGAAAAATTCAAGAGACTTAAGAAGCACTAGGAGGGAAGGATAACCTGCACGTAAACATTGCCAAGAAGCCCTCAAAACTAATTGCTTGAGGTGGTTATGAAAATAAAGAAAAAAGCCTGTGATGCTTATCAGTCTTATTTCTCAGAGGCTGACTGGCCTTAGCATAGTTTTACACATCATAAAAAAAAAAAAAAAAGAAGAGGTTAATACTAGAGCTTATCATTTTATTCAGCTTGAGAGCCCTTAAAGACCTGCTAATGGAGGTGCTACATGGACAAGATTTTCACATTTTTTGAGGTATCCTGCACTGACCTCCTCCAATCATCCACAGAAACTAGAAGTCCAGCCAACAACAAGCAGACATTCACAGGGCTACAAAGTCATCTGTGAGACACAAAGGTCAATGAAGTAGCCAGAAGTGTGTCTGGGGTGTAAACATGGCATTTTACAAAAACAGCATGGTCCAGATCTGCCTGATGTGTCCACACAGGCATAGCCAATGCCTTTTGTGCAAAAGGCCTAAGCGCCATTTCATGTGAAAAAGCATAAACATCTATCTGCCCTCCAAACTCCAAGAATTATAAATAGTTTGAGTGACAAATGCTTCTGTCACAGTGTTCGGGATACCTTCAAAAGATATTCCCAGCACTATATGACTAACCAAAGCCTGGCAGAGTTCACCCTTATAAATATATCCTGGATAAGCCTGTTGATTTCAACAAGAATTTGTGTGTCTGTGTCTAAAGGAAGAAGAGAAGAAGCAGGAAGGTTGGTCATGTCAGTCACTTGTGTAAATTTTTCAAGCTGACTGGTAGAGTTTATTATCTAAGTTTGACAATAATAAGAGCATTGAATTCCTAATGTTGTGTATTACGTTGCACAACAGGTTTTATCACAGAAAAACTGAGTAGTCTTGATGAATGAAGTTTCACATAGGTTACTGTTGAAAAAAAAATTAGACATTATTTGCATAGATTGCATTAAGTTGATTGTTTCCCACCCCTCCCAAGTACCTCAGTAGCTTCGAAATAAATTATAGTCAGAGGATTATTAAAATAAAATTTTAAAAAAGTCCTGAAGTAAATTTCAAACCACAAGACAAAGCAAACAGTACCATAGTCTATTTTCAGATCTCCTCAAAGTTATTCATATTCTAGTTGTCAAACAATCATACAACTCCCAGACATTTTTTTTCCCCTGAAATCCTGTTATGGAGTCTTCCACAGACACATTAAATTATTTCCTCTTCCATATGTCAAGAAGGAAGAAAGAAGCAACCATCTTTAAGTCACATGTGTTTCTCTTTAAGAAAAAGGGTCTCCACAGTTCAACAAGGCAAATAGTTCTCTGTAAATGAAGTCATACTGAGATTTTTAAAGCACCTAGGACTAGGAAAGCAGTATTGGTAGCAATGTCATTGTCACACAAGCTAGAAATACTCCTTCTCACCCTGTTTTTTTTAATTCCAGCCTTCCTGGGACAGTGTTTCAACCTGTACAAACCAGATTCTTTGCTAAATTTATGACTGTGTTGAGAAACACGTCACTACAGTGGAGCACAAGGAAAGCTGTGTGAAATACTAAAGGTTTAAATGCCCTTTCAAAAATATTTGTTGTCATTCTGACCCAAGTGCAAGAAAAAGGGAGACAAAACATTTGTAATATCAGCTTGCCTCTGTTGGTAGAACCTGAATATGGGATTTTGCCTGGTTTATTTTAAGTCTGAGCAGCTAGCAGCTGGAGTATGTCCCACATGCTAACACTTGGAATTCCCCAGGAAGAAGGTTTGTTTCAAATGTACACGCCAGCCTTCCAAATCTGGTTGTCTTTGTGCTTTATTAAGTTTACGAACTCCATCCTTGCCTCAAGTCTCGATGGTAAAGCACCTATTCTGAGCAAGTGAACATTCTTGCCAGCTTCATATGGACTGGTTTTGATTTAAATGCAATCTACGAACGATATCTACTTGCACACGCATACACACCCCAGGCAGATACTGAACAGACGCAGCCTTGCAGACTTACACAGCAGCTGTGACAACAACTGATGTCACCTCCTTTGCAGAAATTTCCACAAGCGTCTTCCAAAGGCCAAGTTAAATGAGATAGAGCTTATCAGTTTCTTTAAAGTGCTCTGGATGAGACCATTCCATGTGACCCCCTTCCTGGCCGCGGGGGTGTGGTATGTCACAGTTCCCCTATCAGCTGGCACATGGCGGTAGGAGATATGAGACAGCAGAAAAGTAGTAGTAACAACATCACCCAGCCTGCCGAAGACAGAGCAAATACGCTGAGTAACTTCAGTGTGTGCTCACTTACTTTCTGCAAACAGGTGGAGGGTGTTCAGCCCTGACTTCTGCTTGCACATCCCACTCGGCACAGATGGGTGGTAATGTTGCCAGCTATGCTTTGGAAAGGCTATGGTTCGTTAGCGTCGTATTAACGCCTCTAGCAGTGAGTTGCAATATTCTTTTTTTTCCTTCACAAACTTTCCCCTTCTTTTGGATATTCTGTGAACAAAAAAGAAATTACTAGCAAGGATGATTTTCCAAAAGCAATTGCTTAAGATAAATTCCCTGCCTCCGTTTTTGCAATAAAAAGATTAGAGAATTTCAGAAGATACCCTCTTCAACTTTACTGCTAAAACTACTGAATGTTTCAGGTTTCCTTCACTGCCTTTAATTATTATTAAATGATCAGTTGTAAAGAGTTAATTTTTTAAAGTTTCTCACAATTATTATTTTTATTCAAAATACCAACTAGCCAATAATATATTAACAGAAACAAATATGTAATATTTGCAAAACATCTCAATACCTCATGCTTGGTAGGACAAAAGGACTCCTTACTTGAAGTAATTTAAAAACATAGCCATAGTATTGAACATTTAATTCAGCAGCTTGCAATTTTCACCCCAGGGCTCACCCAGTTTCTCTGCATGGGCCTGTTAGCACAGAGGACAGCCTTAAGCACTTACCCCAAGCTAGTTATCATATTTTGGTTAACAAATGTTGGTAATGCAATTTTTTCTTTGTGAATGTGCCCCTTCAATGTCTGAATTCAAATTCTTGCACCAGCATAGTCACAGTCACTCTAGATCACTTGGGCATGTCCCTTGCAAATTGTGCTATTTGTGCAAGACCAGCAGCACAACGTATAAATTCTGGGTCTAGCACAGCAGTGAAATACAGGTATACAGTATACATAACTACTCAAGAATTTGTGGCAACAGCACCAACAAAAGCTGAAATTCATTCTTATGATCCATTCCTGAGCTACTTCTCCTAGCTCTGTTACTGAGTGTGGAATGACAAAAGTTTGGGAATTTTAAATCAGTTTTTTGTGGTTCTGCCAGATTGTTCCAATCTTACTGCAATCTCACACCTGTTAAGAATCTTCCTGCCTTGTCTAGCCAGCTCACATTGGATTAAAAAATCTACCTTGCCTTCACCCATTTCCTCTTTCAAAGTTAAGTGTCTGCAGATAGAAAAATAAGCTTTCTAGGGCACAGGCAGCTTCTCCTATTTCAACTGTGGTGTACCCAGCTCAAAATTGTGGCTGGAACCTGGATGTTAATGTCACCTTAAATAATAATATTTTTTCAGGTGCTGGCCAGAGTTTTAAGAGATAGTTCCAGCAATGAGCATATCGGAGCAGCAAAGACACAGCTGCTCGAAACAGCAACGTGCAGTGGTTATATATGCAATGAAAAAAGACCTCCTTCAAGGAAGCTATTGAAGACAGCTGCAGATCAGTCCTCCTCAGGGTTCATTAGCTTTTTTCATCTTCTGTAAACCAGCCCTGGGCATGACTTTAGAAGATGATTAAACCAAAAATTTGTGTGTCATTACACCCTCTACAACTCCAGCTGCAACATTTTATCTGTGAAAGCTCCAGGATCCAAGATCCAGGATAGAAGCCTTCCTGTCTCTCTACTTCCTTGGCATGCTGGTTACAATCTCTGCTCCCACCACCACCTATGTCTGAACTGTGATTGGTTAAATACCCTTAATCCTTGCTGGAATTGTATAAACAGAAACATGGATTGCCAGCCACCTAAAATCTCTGGTGAGCCCTAGACTGTGACAGACAAAAGGCCTTTCAGTATTCTCCCCAGCAAGCCTTTCACAAAGGTAAAGTGAATTTTGTGCCCAAGTTCACTTCCTCTTTATGCTGTAGGGATGCTCTAAATGGTTCTGTTATGTGTAGGACAGATGCATATTTATATGTAATCCTGACCATGCAGAGGGTGAGATGCCAGCTATGAATCAACAGAATTTACAAAGTTTTGCCAAAGGCACTCATAACTGTGAGTTACACACATGGTTGCTTTAAGTGCTAAAAAAGGCCCTACTCTCTTCGCACCTGAAATATGGGTCCGTAGCCCTTACACCTACAGCATTCACAAGCCAGTGCATGGTAGCCCATGCACAGTGATTTTAAATCTGTAATGCAGCCACATGACCGCAGATTCCACTCATAAAGGGCTATCTGTATTGCAATGTTTGAGACTTACAAGTGCAAACATAGCAGAGGCACTAAGAGCTTATGTGAAAAAATAATTATTCCATGTAGAAAGGAAGTTGGCTTGCTTTGAGCAGAGGTGTTAATAGACTAACCTTTTTCCCCAACACCAGCCTGCTTACCTGGAAATATGAAAACATCTACTGATGCAGCACTGTATTTATTTGAGGTGGGTATCATATCCCACTCATGTTAAATGTCTTGCTGTGTTTCAGACCAAGATAGTCATTAATGGGAATACCAGTTATAAGAGTCATTTAATGAAAAATAAGCCCTGGACAACTGTGTTGCAATTTTAGTAATTTGGGGGCAGAGGCATGCAGATCATAGCACACAAATACAGCTAAATTTAAAAGAGTATCTTCAGAATAGACACCTTCCCCCCTTCCACCAGGTTCAGGATAGTTAATGAGAGCTGGATCTTGAATGACAGTACCAAAACAGGGACTTGGCAAAGAGAGGACTTGCTTCAGCTGAGAGATATGCCAGAGTACAGATAAAACCATCAGCAACTGGAACAGTGGAAACGATGGAAATACTACAAAGACCTATGGTAAAAAAGCTATTTAGGTCCCTCTCAAAGGCACCATCACTTTGTTACCTAAAAAAGATTCCTTCTTCTCCCCATCTCCAATATATTTCAGTTGCAGTCAGTGGTAACTCCCAAACAGTGGCAAAAGCAACAACAGTTGCACAGACATGGCATTAGTAAATTAAGCACAGGTCCACTCATTGCTCCAGCTGTGCCTGAGTAATGTTTCCCCAGTCACTCTTCTCCTTCCATTAGCAGAAATGAGTCTCCTCTGCCAGCATAAGCATGCATACAAGTAGACTCCTAACCCTATCAAAAGGAGACAGGGCTGAAAACTGGGAAGACAAAAACTTTTAGGAAGTGTTTAAACTAAGCCAGACCCTACTGAGAGAACCAAGCATTATGCAGCTTTACCTATGGGCTGGGTGGGATCTCAGGAGCACTGAGGGTGTGGAACAATCTCCTCACCTGCTTTCCTTGCAGCTGGAACTGAAACAGGACGAGCTAGAAATCACTTCACTGACAGCAATACAAACCGTGTCTAGGCGAGACAAGTGCTGTCAATGCAAAGTAGGCAACAGTGATGACCAAGGGCTCTTGTTCTCCCAGCAAATCCCTTCTACCCGAGGGGAATACAGGACTAGCATGGATGGGCAAGACCTAAAACTCTGCATCTCTTTCCTTGCAGTTTAAATATGTAGATGCTTCTTCTTCATTCTGAAGTTCTTTTGGATATGCTTTGAATAAGGCTAGGAAAGGATCAGCTTTGTTGTCTCAGATTGGATACACCCTTCCTTACCTTTTTTTTTTTTTTTCTTCCAGCCTAAAGGGGTTTAGACAGTTTCTAAGGTTGTTGAAGAGAAGACATAAAGCTGCTAGGAGACTCAATGGAAGATGTGGCCTGCCAGCTGCTAATCTATGTGGCAGGGGCTCCCTGGACATCCACACCTCAGGAAGTCCTCCCATAAATCTTTCTCTCAGGACTCCATTATCTCTAGTGTTAGCATCTCTGCAATAAAATTAAGATCTGATATAAGATCCAAATTAGAAAAGGGGAAAAATGGGGCTTACAACATCTACCCCTGTCTAGACAACTCTTACCTCTGCTTCTATTAATTGATCCATCTGCTTCCCAAACCTGGAACTGTCTGCACTCAAGAGAGGACCTCGCTTTTGCTCTAGTAGTGGAAATGGGTGTGCCTATTTGGGGGGTGTTTGTGTTCTTAGGGAGAGGTTTATATCCTCTAAAATAAGCAAGTTGCAAGGCATCTTTATGGAGATGCACAACACAATTTCTCACCAAGAGCCCAAGGCAGAGTATGCCAGGCCATTTCATAAGATGTTGGAGTGCTAACACATGGTATGCATGGGCACCTTTTATATATATCACAAACACCTACTTGCCTGGAAGCAAATCAATAACTCTCTACACCAAAGCTTGCATTTGTTTTGCTCTTATTAGAGGTGGAATGGTGCCTGAGGGAGGGCCATAGGCATTCCATTACTTAGGATCAGTGCCTGAGCAAAATGGAAAGGCTGCTAAAAATAAGCAACATTTGCTCATTGGTATAAATAACAAAAGCGAGAGAGAAAGAAAAACAGAAAGACAACAAGACGAAAATGAAAACTGGCCCCAGACCAGACCTCGCAGAATGGCCAGTCACCTCCTCATTGCCAATTCTCTCACCATCTCCACTATGGGCAAGATACTTTCCACTGCCAAGTGCCCTCTGCTTCTTCCCTGAGAGCACCATCACTTGCAGATTCACAGTGGGCCTGAGCATAGAAGATATTCCGACAGCACCTCACAAAATACCACTGTGATCCCTGCAGTAGCTTGTGAGTATTTGTTCTATCTCTATTTTGTTTATTAAGGATATTATGGAGGGGGCTGAGAAAGGGAAAAAGCTGCACTTCCATAAGGCTATCATCATTAAAAACATTATCCTCTCTTTATTAAAATAGAAATAACTTTTGGATTCCCATTTTTCTAACAGACTTTTGGATTCCCATTTTTCTAACAGACTTCCAGGGCAAATAATTCCCAGAGCACCCTTAGCTGCCTATTTTCAAGTACCAAGGTTGAGAAAGCTAAGCCTATCTATACTTGGAGGAAAATAAGAAGACCAAGCTAATTAAAAATTCACCTTTGCCCTGTATTCCTAAAAACACTGCATACCCCCATGACACCAGACATTTCAGGGTGAGCTGTCTTTTTAGAGGAGAGTTTAAAGCAGAGTTTGCTTCTGGTTACTTTTCTTTTTAGTGTCTCTTTAATAAAAAGGAATAACAATTGGAAACAGCTCCCGAAGTAGCACACTCAATCTTTCCTCTGCTTCTATTTAATGAATTCTATTGTAATAAAGTGCACACACACACAAACCTATTAGCCCTACAATTAAACAAATAATGGCATTAACAACTCCCACCCACCGCCTTAAGCAGGTTTAGCTGGGAGAGCAGAAGCAGCTGTCTCTGTCCTGTGTCTCTGCCAGAGGTCACCATCCTGCAGCAGGATCAGCTGATCCTCCTGGATAAACTCCTGAGCAAGTGTAGTGTACAGGCTGCAGCATGATCATAAACCACCTCAAATTTCAGTTTACTCTGGCAGTAACCTCCTACAAAAATAAGGGAGGAAACCTAAGGCTGGTAACTGTTTCATCTCTTAGTATCAGATAAATCCACCCCTGATTACGTTTCAAAGCCCCAAAAAACGGAACAGTCAAGAGGTTTATAATAATGCTCTAGGTTGCCATGAATTAACATGAATTCTTGTACTGAAAAAGGTCACTAACATAACCATTGAACTACACTGCTAATACAAGAGCTAATAGAGGTCCTCTAAAGTTTATCCAGACATGTGTAGACTTTGAACGTTTTCAAAGCTAGCTAGCTCTATGAAATGAATCTACTTTCAAACCTAGGACTAGGACAAGTTTGGGTATCTCCATATGGCCCCCAAGAGTGTTGTTATATCCAAGCTATCATTGCTACCACACGAAATCTTGAACAGTAAAGAGACGAGAGAAGGACAAGGTTCTGACTCAAGTGAGAGGTATTTTTTTCACGTCAGACCAACAGATGATTGACTCAGAAGCTATCAATGTCTTTTTGGCATCCAAAGTGGAGACACACATACTTACAGTGGACTCGCTTACTGGTAATTATAGAGAAAACAGCAGGTGGTTACAGTTAAGTTTCTGGTGCAGATTGCACACTGTCAGATTCACACAAACTAGAGAAAGATGTCAGTTTTGAGCAATGGTGTGAATAAGGAGAGTGCTAAACAGTAGACATACCTTGAAAGCAGGAAAATAATACATAAGGAATGCCATGATCTCCATAGTGCAGGGACTGTGTGCAACAGAAGATTTAAAAATGAGGGCAAGATTTGTTCTGCTTTGTCTAGGGCATTAGGTAAGGCATTTGAGGCTGGGAGGTGTGGGAAGACTGGAGCAATGAAGATCTTTCAAAAGAATAATGATTTGTGATATCTGGAAGGAGTTTGTTTTACAATGCTCGAACCACATTTACATAGCTGTAATACCACAAAGTCCTGGTGTAGGTGCATCACACTGAGAAAGGAAGATCTTCTCTTGTGGCTTTCACCACACTTGTCCCAGCCTCCCACATATGGTTTGCACTGACACAGCTCCAGGTAGCCCCGAGACATCAAACCTGACACAACCATCCTGTGCACCCTTCTAAACACCACAGGCAAGCCCTGCTCCTCTCAGTCACATTTGTAATTCTGGGCACTTCCCTGCAGCTAAGGGAAACTTGGAGCGGGTATATCTATATAGAGACAAGCAGGATCTGGTGTCTATCATGTAAATCCTGCCTAAAGTCATCCTCTAAACCTCCCATGATGTATTTTCAAGACTATCTTATTTAAATGAGCACTGAGAGCATGAGAGAAGATGAGAGGGACTAGAACAAGGCTGGCATATTGGCAAGGGCAGGCATGGAGCCAGCCAGCTCCCTCAGGGCAGGGGAGGCAGCCCTCACAGCACTCACAGTGTGCTGGAAGCCACTCTGCCAGCTATTTGTGTCACAGGCCACTCCTGAAGCCACCCTCCCAGCTATTCTTGTCACAGGCCACTCCACAGAGCCCCTGCCAGCCTCTGGAGGAGGGTACAAGCACATGATAAGGATAAGCAGGAGCTGAAACAAGATGGCACCAAATTAATTTCCCACTGCATGACCTATGCAGTAGATTTGCTGGCATCTCAATAAGCACAAAGAGAAACCTACTGGAGTAAGCAGAGCCCTGCGTCAGCAAAACACCATCTCTCACATGAAACACTCTGGCTGGCAGAGCTGTGAAGGTGAGGATTACTCACTGTTTCCAACACCATACCACATGTTTAAGAGATAATTATGAAGGGACAGGGAGAGTATTCATCTCATTTTCCTTTCTTCTTTCTTTAAAATAATTTAGAGTGTACCATTTCTGCCCTCAAAAAATCAGTTCAGAGAGAGGGAGTCCACTAGTTTATTACAAGGCAACAATTCTACTATGGAACACTCTGTGAATGACATCATCACAAGCATCAAGAAAGTAAAAACTGAACAAGAAATGTATTTTTCTTCAGCTAGCCTAAAGCAAATCGTTCAATCAAGGAAAGAAAGATAAATCTTGACAATTTCTTTCAGTTAAGAATTAAGGAAAATACATCTGAAAACCAAGGTCACCAAATCTGATCTTTTGTATTGTCCAGCCAATGAAATTTCCTCCACTTACACAGTTTTTATTTGCTGCAAGTTTTTATTAAATATTTCAGCAAACAAAAGGAAATAGCAAAACCAGAAGGGAGGCAGGACAGTATTTTTCAGGGACAGTGGAAATTAATTCAGAAAAGTGGGTCAAAGGAAATGCTGAAAGATACAAATCCATTCTACACTTTAACTAAAGTCAGAAAGTACAGAAAGTACTAGTCCACACACAGTTATTGCAGCACTTAGTAGATAGCTCAAATTTGCCTTGGAAATTAATAGAGAGAAAGTAGAACAGTCACCCAATATGGGCAAATAGGCGAGCATTTAGGACTCAAGAAAAGGCTATGCTAATAAAACAATATAGTGGCAAACACACGTATTTGCCACAGATCATACAAGTCCTTTGCCACCCATTTTGAGTAGAAACCTGTTTTCTGTTTCTCCACTGAAGGTGCATGTTAAAGAATGGTACCTGACAGAGTATAGGACAGGAGAGGGCTGGAGGTCAGGAGAAGCTCCAGTGACCAGCCATCAGCTTTCAGGTAAGGTTAATGGTGGCTCTAGTTGCATTACAAGGAAGAAAAGCATTGGAAGAAGCTCTCCCTCACAGCAGGATTAAGAGAGATTGTAAACAACAGGGAATTGTGCATTTGCATAGTCTTTAGAGAGAAAAAAGCAGCTAAACCAGGAGAAAAGAGGAGTAATAGTGTGGTACCCGAAGGAAGCAGGGGAAGAGGGCCAAGGGTTCAGAGCAGCCTTTGCCTAGCCCAGGGAAGTGCCTCTGGGAGAGGCTCTCGGTGCCCACAAGCATTGCCTCCTAGAATCAGAGTGGCTACTGTGAGCCAGGCTCTCCGGGGAGCCCTGGGAGCAGCAGGAGCAGCACTGCAGAGGTGGGGAGCCTTGCCACAGACTGCTTGGTCCAGCTCCGTGATGCTCCATGGCCACGTCTTACACCAGCTTTCCCCCTCACTGCAAATTTCAAAAAGAGAAAATGTTTACAGCAAATAAAACCTTTGAAGGGAAACAACAAATATTGAGGAGGGTTGTTAGCAGCCATCAAACTAGGCTAGTTATAAACTAGTACAAATGCAAAGTAAAGAGGTGATCTGGCAATGGTGTGAAGAGGCTGTCCATCTGAAACTCCAACCTTTCTCTCTCTTTCAGCCCATGCTATGCTTCCTATTTTACTTTCAAACATCTGACAGAGAAATCTGTGATGTAAGCTAGTAACTACACAAAATTATCTCTAGCCAACTGTGAATTCATATGCTCTTTCTAGTTGCTCTCCTTTGCTGAAACATAAAATTTGGTATGAGTCAGCATATTTCACCACATTTAAGATTATAATAACATGGGCAAAGGCAGGAAGAAAAGATCACAAATGTAACAGATGAAGAAAAATCCAGCCTAGGGACAATCATGGCAGCAGAGAAATTCAGTATACCTGAACTACAGTACTACTTTACTGCCATTTCCATTTTCTAGTTCTAGTCTAAGGAATTAGACTAGAATTTTTTTTAGTTTCCCATTAAAAATACATTTAAGATTATAATAACATGGGCAAAGGCAGGAAGAAAAGATCACAAATGCAACAGATGAAGAAAAATCCAGCCTAGGGACAATCATGGCAGCAGAGAAATTCAGTATACCTGAACTACAGTACTACTTTACTGCCATTTCCATTTTCTAGTTCTAGTCTAAGGAATTAGACTAGAAATTTTTTTAGTTTCCCATTTAAAAAAAAAAATAAATAAATTTCCTATTAATGATTAAAACAAAAGAAAAAGAAAAAACACTACCAACACAGTAAACTAACCATTCTCCACAATGATTTGTGGAATAAGACCTTTTCTGCAAGCTTTAAGCACCTCTATATGATTAATAGCAAAATAAGCACCACTTGCCAAATAAATTCGCACTAATCTAATCTAACAGCATCTAACCACTCAACACGTTTCCCTATTGTTATACCCCTATGGAATGACTTTGCTAGCCCTCCCCTAAACCCATTGCTTCCTGTACCTCCTGCATCTCAAAGGCATGCAAATGAATCCTTAAGAGTTTTTCCCTTCTTTGACACGTACAACTTACTCTTTTTTTAAAAGCCTAGAAACAAACAGATTGTATTTATTTACATTGTGATAGTCTCCAAAGACTCCAGCACCAAGGTGAGAGCAAAGAACCCATCATTAAAGCAAGACCAGAGTTCAAGCAACAGCAATTGATGCTTGGAGCTCAACACTGAGAAAATTTCAGATGTGAGTACACACAAAACAGAGAATTGGTCACTGGACTCCAGCAGCACTGCAAGTTATAGTTTTGTTTAAGTTATAGTTAGTATTAAACTGCAAGTTTAGCTTCCTACACTAATTTTTTTCGTGTTTCAAGCATAGGAATGTATTTCCTCCTAAGTTGGAAAGTTCTACACTTTATGTTGTCATAAAACCTAGTTTCCAACACTTTCGTCAATGTATATGAGCTATTGTGATAACCTGGAGCAACACTTATTTCTAGTCAGTTAAATCCACATGGGCAGGTCAAGAGTTATTAGAACAAAGCCAAAAAAACAGGCTGCCAAATAGAAGTACAATTTATTGGCTTAGATAAGATTTAAAAAATTAAAAATTCAAAGGCAATATTTTCAAACGTAAAAGTAAACAATTGGCTTCTAAGTCTGTAGTGGGATACTCTTAATTTAAACCCCAACCCTCTTTAGGAATCCATTCCAGTTTAAGAGGATCATTTTACTTTAATAAGTTTAAGTTACAGACAACATACCTATGAAGGAGTCTGCAAACTTAACAGTAGAGCACAGCACATAGTCCCAAGAGGACTGAACAACACAGGAAACTACAGGCTTGTCACTGTTGGCCCAGACGTCCTTGTGTCCCCCTGCAATGCAATCACTCTGAGCAAGCTCAGGAAAGGGTTCATTATTTGCCCCTCTTGACAGCGCTGTCTCTGTCAAAACCTACTGCAATAATAAGGCTACACCACTCACCTTGCTGCACAAAGCACATCCCTACACTGTCTGAATAACCACGGGGTCACTTCTTCTTCTTGGCTGTGTGATAAAGCTTCTGAAAACGCATCACTTAAGGACAGAATAGAAAACAAACAGCAAGGCTGGCTGTGGCATCAACAAACTGCCCCTCCTCATCTCTATAACATCATCGCACACTAAAAGGTGACAGTTAAAACAGCAAGAGCTGTCAAGGGTTAGTTTTACCATGGGGTTTACCTAGTGGGAATCTTTAAGAAAATAAATCCAGGCTTCAGGTGAGAATGCCAAACAGTGTCAGTGATGTTAGGCAGAGGTCACCGAGGTGCCCTTTTCACACTTAAAAGAATTTAAGCTTGCATTTGTATTGAAGGAAGAAGGCAGAAAACCTTACAGCTGAAAAAAGGAGTTTAAATCTGAATTTTGAGGGCAGGAGATGCCTACCAGGTGAATAAAAAAAGACCTCTCCCCTTCTGTAATCAATCAAAACAGATATTTCAGGAAGAGTCAGCACTCACAGTTGTTCTTCTGAACCACCTGCAAATTTCCAAACATATTTAGGCTGAGCTTTAATCAGATGGCCAGCAGAGACAATCATCCCTCTCTTGCAAACAATTCACTGCGTGACCTTAAATAAATCACTTGCACATGGTCAGCACTAGGGAAGAAAGTTTTCTGCTCCTTTTCTTTTCACGTATAGAGGTATTGCAGGGGGGCAAGCAACAGAGTTCATACTGCATTATTTACTTGGAATCTTCACTTTTTTAATTTTGGGAAGAGATTTTTAAATGTACCACAAAAGTACCACTACAAGTAAGGGAGAGAGGAGGATCTTTCAGTTGCACCTGGTGACATTCCAAAATAACAAAAATATATGAGAAAATACTTGAAGAAAAGCTTTCATTAGAGAAAATTAGGGATTGTCATAACTCAGAAAGAATAGAAACAGTCATCCACGAGCTTGACAGAACATGTAATGTTCCTCTCCCTTGCCTTTGAAGGTCACCTTTATTCTTGATGAGATTCTTTCTCTGCAGAAGGCGTGAGCAAACAAAAAACTCTTCACGTGTGTCTGCTGAGCTTTTGTACCAAACTAAGTTTCCCATGAAGTTCCTTTGTTTCTCTTCCCACTTATCAGCTATTGATAACCCTCTCATGCCCAGAAACCAATTAATTTGTATCAACAGGATAGGGATGTCTATAACCTGACCTAACTAGCCAAAGATGAGTCTGCCTGTAGGTTTGCTTTTAGGTACTGCAGCTTCAACCAAGAGTAGATAAAAAATACCCCAAAACAGACCAGCCTGGGTGAAGTGCAAGGTACACCTGGATCACAAAATGAAATTGGATTTTCTGGGGCCTCTTTCCCTGCACCCCCAGCCTGTGCTGCTCAGGCGCTGTACCCAGGCCCTACAGACAAGCATGAACTGCTGTACAAAGCACAGTTGGCAGCTAATTTGGATTTAGCCATTTCACACTTGCAAGCCAGGGATTCAAAGCCAAATACCAGGGCCCCCTCCTACTTTCCAACACAGAAACAATTTAAAACAGATCTAACACCTATGTAGTACTGATTTGGTTATCTTCAAAATCCCCATTGTTCTGTTTAAAGAGCATATCCTCCTAGAATAGCCTCCTTTTGATAAACAACTCCTTCTGCATGTCAGCCAAACAACAGTTTTGCTCTTTATCACAAGTGGACCAGCAGCAGAAACAGTGTGTGGCGAAGTGGGGGAGGAGGGAGTTTTAGCTGAAAATAGAGTTCATTGTCAGCTGGACTTTAGACTCAGGTTTTTAAATAGGTTTTGGAATGTGGATATGAAGCAGTTAAAAGAACCCTACCTCCAGCCCTTAAAGGAAAAAAAACCTTTATTCACACACTTAAAAATCATAGTAGAACTTTAGGCAACAGGGTCATTTGTGTGTTGTATGCAAAAGCTTCTTGTATTAGAAAGTAAAAATATCCAGGAAAAAAGATATTAGTTCCTCAGGAATCAAAGAAACCACAAACAAAAAATCTTAAATAGAAATACACAACACCAAATAACCCATTTTTTAAAAAAGTTTTAAAAGACACATTATGAAATTTAAATACTTTTTTAGACCCATAATAACAGACACATCATTTTAAAAAGTTGTATAGGCCAGAGATTTCTGTGCCTTGTATACAGTTAGTGGAAAACAAAAAAGTTGCTACAAATTATTTGTATTTTCTTACATTCCAGATATGCACATGAAGGAATGTGACAGTTTCTGAAGTGTTTACTTTATGAAAAATATTGACTCTTTTCAGTAATATATTATTGTATTATTCTGTAATGACACTATGTAGTTAAATTGTATATTTTGCTTCAAATATCCCCTCAGCATGGGTGAAAATAGTTTTAGTTCCTAGGATTACTTGACATATGCATGCGATATGCACAACCTAAAATCTGCCACAAAAACAAACAAAAAAATCTTATTTTGTGTGTTCCATGAAAAGCAAGCTATGCTAAGAAAGCTGATTGTATAAAAGATTGTATGACCGACTTCAGTAATCACCAACACATGTTGAAAGTGGAAAAATTGGAAAAGATCTACACCTAAACATAAACAGTAATGATCAGAGCAAAACACAGCCTGAAGTCATGCAGCTCCTGCGAAGTCCATATGCTTTATTAGCACCTACATAAAATGATCTTGTAATTAGAGGCAGAATTCCTACTAAAGTCTTATGTTAAAAGCACTCTTAGGTCCACAAGCTGCCAGAGAAACCCCATCACTTTGCTCTCAGAAGTTTGCTGAAAAGCTCTGAGTGGCCTAAACGACACAAACTTCAACATCTTGGGCAGCGCTATCTCCTGCGGGGGCCGCGGCGTGACCCACTGGCACAAACAGGCAAGGATAAGGAAAAGGATAAGGATAAGGGCTTGGAAAACATCGGCCCTGGCTCCTGGGCTTCCCACAGATAGAGCATCTGGGCAGCGTTAGCCGTGGCACCCTGTAAACACCGGCTGGGCCGCGATAGAGCCCGGCAGGGCCGCAGGGACGCGGCTGCCTTCAGCGCCGCGGCAATGGAGCCACGCCGGGCTTGTGGAAACCAGCTCTGCAAGGAGCTAAAGAAGTGTTTACAGCACAGTTTGCCATAGATAAGGAGACAAGTTGTTCTTCAGAAGTCAAGGAATTCTGTCTGAGCATAAGCTTTTTTTTTCTCCTGTTCGACCAAGGGCCGCAGATACCTCAAACAAACTTCAGCCAGAAATTCATGCTGACTTTTTGCAAATTTCCAGCATCTAGCAGGACTGGCTAGCAAAGTCTTGGTCCACTAACATCATATGGCAAAGCTCACTACTGGCCAAAGAGGTGACAGAAGTTCTCAAAAAATCTTATATATAGGCAATAAACTTCCCAGATCTTTCTATTAACATTTAAATTGGCCAACAAGCCTTTAGGCACAGCACCTATATGCAAATCATCAAATCAGATGGGAAAAACTTGGAAGATGATTGTTGTGCAATTGACAGGAAGGAATTTATGTTGATTTTCTTTTTATTAACAAGATCTTCTGCATCTTGGTGGTAAAACATTCCATCAATTGTATTTTCCAGAGAAACAGAACTTAATTCCATTCATTCAAGGCTCCTGTACTCAGAAATGAGTGGCATCAAGAATTTACAATTGTTAAACTGATCTCCCTCCCATTTGTGACCATCTAACTTCCTTGTAACAACTACAGTGATTGCTGCTACAAAGGAACAGCTGTTTTAAATGCATTTTGGCTAACCTTTGCTACAGCTGGGAAGGTTGAATGGTGGAGGATGATCTTTTCCTTTGACCAGTCTCCAGAAGTTCTGCCTGGACTGCTGACAAGCACTCAGCCATAATATGAAAGCCTGCTCTCTGCATCTCAGTGAAAATTTCCTGTTATAAAACTCATCGAGGGAAAATAAGTAACTCTTACAACAATGCTTCACGCTTGTAAAAACCTAGAAATCTTCTATTATAATAAGGACAGTCGGCATTTTATGTTTATCGTACATTCAACAGCAAGAAAAGAGATACAAACTATCTACTCTCACAGACTTTTTGTTAAGTTTGGGGGTTGGGATGGGGTTTTTTTACTTGGTATTTGGTTGTTGGTTTGGTTTTTTGGGTTTGCTTTTTTTATTTTTTAACTGAAATAATATATGTTGAAACAAAGCATGTGGTTAATTTCTATGTAAAGAAAGATAAATGCTTTCCATCTTTTAAAGTCAGCTCCAACTGAAAGAAACTTAGAGTCAAAAAAAGACAAAAGCAATATATATCTTTTTAAGGAAAAGTAATGAACTTACCTAGTCAAGGAAAGATTTAAATTTAAGGACTTTGAGCAACATTGCTAGGAAAAAAAAAACAACATACTGTGCATTCATGCCATTGTGCTGCAGACAGAAAAGCATACATATAGCAATTATATGCAGATATGTCATTGAGGAAAACTGTGTTATGACATTAAACAGAGAGATGAAAATTAGCAGCAAACTGAAGGTAGAACATAAGAGTCCATTTGTGCACCTAGGGCTCTGTCAATATGCTGTAAATATTCAGAATACAAGCTCAGGATCCTCAAGAGTACTGTGAAGAGAACCTAGGTTCATTTCAATGATACAGAACAACTCCTTTAACAAAACAAAATTACATGAGAACTGTAGAGGTCCGTCAGGTAGCACAGGAGGTTACAGCAAAAAGAGTTCCCTGTTCTCAATGCTCCTTGGTACAGCTTCTACAAAATAAACATTTTTCTCCCATTTCCCTTGCTTTTCCTTTTAACAGATTTACAAATGCTTATGAAAAGAAAACATGAGATTGCATCTGGTTTGTCTGTGGCGCCATTTGTTGCTATATGGAGACTACTTGGAAAAGGTGATGAGTGGTGAGTTGGTGAAAGATATTAGGAGAGAAACAATAGACAAATTGCTCTCAATGTTATGCTTAACCCTTTAGTGTTCACATATTGGTTTCTCCCTCCTCTCTGGGAGGCCTAAGCAGAGGATAATGATTCCATCAGCCTGCACAAGCTGCTTTCCCCTCCAAAACATTAGCAAATGTCTCCTTTTTACTTCCATGGGCACAGCATATGTAAAATTATTCTTGGGAGCAGGGGGAAGCAACTCACTGAAATCCTATTTTTTTTTCCTTATTTGCTCCTTTAGCAGAACTGAACATCCTTTAAGAAAAAGGATGCTTTGCATGTTCAGCACAAGTCAAACACCATCAAATTTATTTCTTCCTGAAAGTGTAGGTAGAGACTGAAGATATTTAAAGGAAAACTCTGCCCTTGATGCCCACTGAGCAGCAAGCTGAAGCATGCATACCACTAAGTACCCACTGTAAAGATAAAACTTTATTGAATGCAAAGAGCACCCCTTCAAGGGCCTTTAATAAAGGGGGGGGGGGGGGGGGGGGGCACAAAAAAAATCAGAAAAAGCAAAGTGTTCCTTCAAAAAAACCCACTATGCTCAGCCAAATTCTTCATTTATGGTTGAACTCAATGATCTAAAAGGAGGGGGGGGGGGGGAGGGGGAGGCCACATAAAAATGATTTGCAGTTTCCCAATGAACACATCAATTTACTTAATTAAATATTGCTTTCAAAGTTGCAGTCACAATAGCCCTTGTCCCCTGCCAGTTGCAGTAAGAAAGATACATTGAACAAGGGTGTCAGCTGAATACTAGCATTGATGTTAATGCCAACTGTCCAAAGCCTTGCCAAGTTGCTGACGTTTAGAGCAAGGACTCCCTCATTTTAAGCTCTTTTTAAAGCTTTGTCAAAGTACTGAAATTCTAGAAACCACATTCTGTGCATTTTGCAAAGACATATAAGACCCTATATTTTCAAACAGGAGAAGATTCATCCAACAGCCTCAGGTTTTTTAACAGAATTAATTTGAAAGTTATTTTCACTTTCATTGCTGACTACCATATCTTGAGTCCACATTTTATTGCATTTAAGCTCTCTTTGTGAATTTATATTTTGACTCAGATTAACAATAAAAAAACCCAAAGAAAGTATTTTCTCACCAAAAACACCAGTCATCTTCTGAAATTAATTTCCAGCATTCAAATCACTATAGCTTTACATCTACTTTTTTTTTTGGTTCTCATTTCAGCACAGGATGTGGAAACTCAGATGCATTCCATTAAGTATTTCTGTAGTCTTGCCTGCACCCTCAATTAACTGCAGTTTACAAACTTTTAGCAGAAGAAATAATTGTTGTAGCCGTTTTCTCCAAAACCAAGACAGTTTTGAGAAATATTGTCATTCTGCAACTCCTTGGGAATCAGGATTGAAAGATAAGACCACACAAAAAGAATGAGAACAGTGAAGACAAACCTTTTTTTTTTCCTTTCCTCCTCCACTTTCTCCTTTTTCACTTTCAGTGACAGAGGCATAAAAAGCAGCAACAGGATTTGACCAGTGACACTGGGAGCAATGCAGGATATGCACATCTGTGGAACCTATTCAATTACCTTACAGTTAAGTTCAGACTTAGTATCACCTTCCACTCCTCCAAAATAGAAATTACATTGATGGCAATTCTCATAGGTGGGTGCTTTAGCCCAGGCTCTTGGTGAGGCCAGTTTTGGTCATTGCAGACTTTTAAGGTGAGATGCATAAATAATCAGTCACACACACTGCCTAATCACTCTTTGTTGTCAGCTTCATTCCAGAGGCAACTGCATTCACCTCTGGCATAGACCTGCAGCTAAGCTTCACGTCTTCTCAGACTTTAGTGAATGGAATTTTGGTGTTTCCCCCTGGACATTCTCAAAATCTGCTCTTGCACTGTCATTCTGTCCAAAGCCACATGAACAGAGAGCATACACAAAGTATAAAGCTTTGCCCTTCTGAAGTTGTATTCAAGGCTCTTCCTCTTCCTCTTTTAACAAATCTTTAGTTATTCATTCTTTAAGACCCAATACCAGACAAGTGACCTTATTATTTGCTTGGGCATGAGCAACATTGTTTTATATTGTAAGGTCTAATCCATATTTGGAAATTTATATTTTAGGACATATCACTTGTAACTTTTTAAAGAAAATATGAGTAGTGACCTCCTAAAAATCATGATGTGCCAAGACTGCTTTATATTTTAGTTTAACACAAACATATACTATGTCCAGGAATAACCCAACATTAATAAAAGGAAGATTTAAAAAGCTCCAAATCTAGTATGGAATTCCTATTACACAAATACATTTAAACACATTTTAAACAATATTTCCACTCATTTGAAGTAGGAGCTTATCCTCATAGTCTTATTCTCTGCCTTGGAGTTAGTTTTTTAAGCAAAGTTAGGGACTTGAACTCCAAATGTTTAACCTAAATGTCAGGATTGGATCAAATGTGACAGTGGTACATTGGCATAGAAGGGGAGAGGAAAAAAATAATCTGTCACTCTTCAGACTAACTGTCTTCACAAGGAGCAGAGAGTGCTGAACACCTTGCAAACCAGCCTGGGTTCTGCATTTTAATTAAATTACTAAAGTCATTTTACTCAGAACACAAAAAACAATAACTGAATGTCTTCATGATTCCCTAGTGCATAACTTGCACATTGCATGTTCCTTCCACTGCTTTGTCCAGGCCTCCAAAGCCTCAGAGAGACTGTTGCACCATTTCTTGAGGCATTTGTTCCAATATTTCAATGGCAAACCAAATAAGAGGCAAAGAATAAAAGGGACTATAACAGCAGAGGGTGATTCTCTCTGTTGTGTAACATCACAGCTTGAAATTACAATGAAATCAGTCATACAGAAAAAAAGCAAACTTATAAATCACATTGCATGTAAAAATGCTTCATATTTTTAAAGTACTCCTCATATGCCAGTGAACTCATGAGCCAGTTTCAAGTGACTCCCACGATGAAATTTTGCCCACAGAACCAAAGCATCTGGATGAACAAACGTGGGAATGAAGGACCAAGTGTTAAGTCTTTGAACTTACAGATGTGAGCTTGGTGCCATCAGCAGTCTGAGCATCATCTGGTAGGTATATTGGGGTCTCTTTACTGCTGTGCTTTTGCCACTTTCCTGCAGTGATGACTAACATCTGACTGATATATTATTTTACAATGAGAAACAGAAATCATTCTCATCCTGATTGACCCACTAACATACCCGCAGATCAAATAATGTTTTTTGCATCCACGGTTCCATCTATTATTTTCTGCCAGCAACTAAGAGACCATTTCTATGTTTCTCTTTTACAAGCAGAAGTCATTCAATAAATCATCAAATCTGCCTTTTTTTTTTTTCCTCTGATATCTACATACAGCTCAACAGATCCTCACATCTGCCACTGCACCATTTATTGAATCCTAGAAAACTGCTCTTTATTACACACTGAAACTGAGAAAGACTACCAGTGCTTATTCAGTTTAGTGCCATTGGTCACTATAATTTACTTAAAGAGTACTCATGTGCCCCAAGAACTGTTCACGAGCAACCCAACTGCTGGAAGGCAGCAGCTAACTGCACAGTTGTGGAGAAGGAATGCAGTGGTTCGGGACAAAAGCCCAGCTCTCCCAGAAAATGCTGTGTGCTCTTGAATGTTTACGCAGAGCAGGCAAACCTTTCTTACTTGGCTGTTTCCAGGGACACATCAGATGGCCTCATGCCAGGGCAGAAGCCAGAATTTTGTTTCTCTTCTTCCAAAGGGTAAAAGAAGGCCTGAATCAGCCACAGGTACAGGAGCCTGTAGTTTTTCAAGCCTAAAACAGAGCCGCTTTCAAAGAGCATTGGTGTCTTCACACACACTTTAAAAACAAGGAAAAACCCCAGCTCTTTCAATATAAGCTGCTCTTGCAACTCTACATTGTGCTACAGCTTTTCATTCATCTTTCTTGTTTTTATCAAGCGAGGATGACTAATGTGCTATTGTGATGCACTTTCCTCAGAAATGTGGCCAACTGAGGCTGCTTCCACTCCAGTTCCATGGATGTTTAACATTAAAAAGGAGTACTCAGGCAGACAATGGGGAAGTCATTACACCCCTTTTTAAAACAACAGGCCCTATGCATAAGCCATGCTCTCATGCAAATCTCTCATGCACAGTATGGTGAACTCTTCTCTTCCAGTGTCAGGAAGATTTCACTAGTCATCCCATGTGTCCCATAGCTGTGAAAGTGGCAGTACTTGAGCCCCAAAGGAAGCACAGGGTTTGCCTACAGCAGCTTATGGCAGCTGGTGGCATTCCTCAGCCCTCTCTCTGCCCTACCAGGTTCTTACAGTTGGGCCAGGAAGTCCAGATGGGACACACAGCTTCAAAATCATTCACCTATGCCAAAAAATGCTCTTCCAGCTCAGCACAACTTAACCAAACCTGGGAAGGAATGTAACACCTTATGACACAAAACCAATATACACAACCTCAACATGAAACCACTGACTTCAGCTGGGTCAGACTTTTATGCCCCTAGAGAACTGCTGAATATTCATTTCAGTCCCTAAAATACAAAGACCAATGATGTCCCAGAGCACAAGTGATAAGGAAGATAGCATTGTTTTGCTATGAGACTATTTCAAATAATTCCTTGAAAAGCAGACCCTCAAGCACAATTATAGTTAATTATACAGTGTTTCTGGCTAATATGTATGAGCCCATGTATGAGGTTTTACATAGACTCTGCTTCAACAAATTTTACCAAATTTAAATGTTTCAGTTTGAAGAAGGCCTTGATTTCCCTAGACTGAATCTTGCCAAGATTTACTTTTGACAGAAAATTGTAACAGGTTTCTACTTTTTAAGCCATGTTCAGCCCAGAATAATGACTTTTCTGCAACACAAAATATGCAAACATATTTTTATGATGTTTATCCCAAAAATCCAGCCAGCTTTTTCAACCGATGGTGTAGGTCAGTAAAATTCATTGCAGCACAAACTATTAGGTCTCATTTCACATTTCAAGGCCTACAGTTTCCACTTTTTCTGGCAAAAGAATCCTTGTCTTTCCATTTCTATTGGAGAAGACTTGCAGTTTCAAATTCAGCTCGAAAACTGGTCAACTCAATGCAGAAAAAGACTCCTTACTTTTGACTGTGACATTCACATGGCCTACAGTTATCTGCACAAAAAGGTTATTAAAAGAGCATTTTCAAATAGCAGTATTAGATATTCTTAAATGCATTGCTCAGCCACAGTAAATACAATAATTTTATTCATCTCTTTGTGGAAAGACAACACTTTATTATGCCTTATTAGCCTAAAAATCCTTTAAGCATGCTTATCATAATTCACTGTCTTTGCGATTTAAAAAAATAAAATTTTCTTATCTTAACCAAAGGGATGAAACTATTCTCTGAATCATGTTATTAAATGATATATGCCTCCATCTTATAAGGATGCCGTATAAATCTACTTATTTATAAAAAACAGGAACAAAATAAATAAAAATCAGCCATATTCAAGACTTGGAAATATGCTATTATGTCACAAATGTTTCGAAAATAATGGTCTTCAAAACAGTTGGCATCTAGATATGTTGCTCAGAAAATTGCTGTATCTTTTAAACAACAGAAACAAAAGCTAGAACCCAATTCCAAACACAGAGCTAAATTTGTTCCTCCATACTAGAAATTTCCATATGATATTTCACACTTGCTGTAAACCAACATTCTTTTCTCACCTCAGTGAAAATCCCTTGAAAGGAAACTGTGAATAATAATATCACCAGGACATATAGATAGAAAACATTTTAGCAGCAGAAAGAGTTTCATTCCAACTCTCTAGGCTTTAGAAGTACAAATTTATAGCAAGATCCTCCTTAGGAGTGTGAAGCTGTGTCATGGTCACAGCTCATTTTATACTACTTTTTTGCTGCAAATAAATAAATCCAGAAATACAAACTTTGATTTTTTTCACCTAACAATCTCAATCTGAAGTAGGAATGTGCTAAGGCATATAGAAATTGCTATTCTTATTGCTATTCTTGTTGCTAATCTGGTTCTATGTTTGACAAAATTTGACTGACTTCTCTTTTGGCTACACAGAGAAAAAGGACAAATTATTTAATAATGATCTTAGTGAAAGAGACTATATAAATTTGAAAAAGCTCTCACCATGCTTGCTGAACAAACATACATCTGCTCCCTTCATAGGCTAACACTTGTCTGAAAGAGAATGGCATTGCTGAGAAAAAAAAAAAAAAAAAAAAAAGGGGGGGAATCTGTTTGTTTTATTTCCCCATATAATTTCATTAAAGGGAATGAAATCATCCCTCTCATCAAGACTATTTGACATTTCCCACTGCAAACAATCCTATGTAGGGCAGATGAAAAGGTGAGCATAGCATTAAGCTGTGAAAAAAAAATGCTAATTATCCTGCTTTTTCTTCTCCATGACTGACTTGGTACACAGCAATTTTCTAATGCTCTGGCTAACAATAGCATACACGAAGAGTGCAGTTCAGCCTAGTTTATGTTTAAGAAGAGGAGCACTCACTTCCCACAATTACTCCTTGTAATACAGCATCAAGTCAAAGGAGCAACAGGGGAAACAGTGATGGCTTCCATGTGTTTAAGAATATTGTTTCTCTCCTTTGAAAAGCTTGTCATTAGAGAATCCCATAACATAAAGGTAACTTTCAGAGAAAAGAAAAACATTGATCTGTTTCTAGTGAATAAAAGCAAAATTACAGAACAGTTGTGCCACAATTATCACCATGCAATAATTTCTCTCAAAGAGGTCCTTATTGTTTGTAGACAGAAATTTAGGTAGAAAATCAGAAAACTGGTGAGGTTAACAGAAGAGACATTCTGAAGGTATTTCTTGAACTGGTCTTGGCACTTGTAGACCCCTTACTAAACACTGGTTCAGCAACCCACCAAAACTACCCAGGATCCATACATCTTGTGCTGTACAGGGGGACAGAGTGAGTGTAGCTTGGTCCTACATCCACCAGAGCAGCAGGGGAAGGGAGGGCTGGAGGGAGGGCTCCTTCTCTTAAAGGTAAAGCAGCAGATCAGCTCAGCTGCAATCCTGAGCCACGGCACCCAGCAGCTTCTGCCCCCTCTACCACAACACAGACTGCTGGCTGAAGAGAAAAAAAACCAAACAAACAACCAAACAAAAACCAGCCCCAACAATAGATAAAAAACCAACAAGGGGTTTATATTTCCCCACGAGATATTCCATATATTGTCCACATATTGTGTTTATTTGGACTATCACCGCAAAGCAGGTATCTGAGATGTGGATGACCAAGAGAGAAGGAATCAACATCACAGGAGCTCTTTCACTGATATACTGACTAGAATTTGGGACATTTGGACTAAATTCTGTATTTCTCACACATTTCCTACAGGACTTCAGATTGCATTCAATCTAATAAGTATTTTCTACATAATTTTCTTGTCTAGCAACAATATGAGCTCTTGTGTGTTAATATAAACTTTCAAGGGCAGAGTTTTCCTGTCACTAGATCTAAAGGCAAGACAGCTTATCCTTGGTGCATAAAAGTAATAATAACAGGGTTGAGAGGAAACATCAGAAGGGAAGGACTAAGGAAGTAGGTTTTAACTTCATTGCTTGAGTTGGAAATGAACTTTTAAAATTTTATTCCATGCAATCCAGTATTTTAGCTAACGTCAAAAAGCATGCAGTCTAGTATATACAACCTCTGTTAAGTAATACCTACGCACACAAACAAGAACACTGTCCTTCCAAAGCAACACATCTGTTCCTTTACTGTATTTCCCATCCAAAGAGATAATTCAGTTTATGAAACCAGAGCACTAACGAAAACCAATACATTGACTAGTGAGATGCAAGCCCAAACAAATTGCACAACACAGAGAGCAGAGTTAAGCAATGATGACGCACAGACTGCACAACCCAAAAAAGGGGAGGGTCATAACATACAAATACACTTGTACCTGGGGACTGGGAATAGCTATCAAGCATTCCCATGTTTGTTCTTACTTTATATTTTTTGGACTTTGCACCCAAGCACTTTGATGTTTATTACTTTATTTGTTTAATCAGTTATAAAACAAATTAATCAGTCTGCAACAGTTAGGATCTGTTATTTTATCTTCAATGTGAACAGCAAACAGAAAATCCAAACTCAATGGCTGAACAGTAATGGCATTGCATATAAACAAGCATAGACCCATTCATGTGACAAACACTGCACTCATACCAAAGTATGTCAGGAAGTCAAGCTGTCCTTACTTACAGCACATGACAGCTGGGCCCTATTGGGTTTCCTCCTGACTGTATTTCTCCAGCAGTGGAGCAGAGCATTGGAAGGAGAAGAGATCCTGATAGAGGTACAGGCATGTGTAGCTTGATTATTGGTGAATGACCAGTGTATGATTGACACAATCCAGGCTCTCTGGCCTTTTGATGTTCCTTGTAAGAATAAAGGAATCTATTTGTGTCTTTAAAATTGCAGTAAAAGCACCAAATTCGAGGTGCTTCTCTCAATGCATTTAAGAGCAGAAGGCTGAAAGGTTCAAAGTAACTGGCTTCTCATCCAGAGATCCAAGGTTAAACAAATAAAGTTCCTCGAGTCTCAATTAGCTATTATCTGCAATAAAAAAGGCAACAACCATATAACAATAAATATTGCAGCATAAAAGCAACCAGGCTGAAGAAACTGAAAAAGCTTATTGAGCTGAAGGGAGAAGAGCAATGTCTGGTCAATATCAGCTCCAATCAATGAAAGAAGCCTTCACCCATTGCTTGGAAAAGCCATGACCCTTTTTCTAGTATGTTACTGATGTACAGAGTGCCCTGGATTCCAATGATATAACAGATTCCAAGCTGAGGTACAGAAAAACTTAAAATCTTGTGTTTAAATTATGGAAGATTCAGACAAGATTATCGCATGACACTACCACCACCAGTAGCACTTTATTTTTCCCTACTTTTTCCAAACCTTTCACAGACACCTTCACATGAACCAATGAGGCAGGCAAATTTTATCACTCCTCTTTATTCAGAGAGGAAGAAAGACCATCTCAGAATTAAGCCTAAAAAACCCTATATCACTCAGATGTCCAGAATCCCAAAGTCTCAGAAGTATTTCAACAGTGTTGGAGAGATCTGGATCTCAGAGCAAAAGGAAAAGTTCTGACAGCTACCCAAAACTGTGCTGAGGGAAACAGATGAAGCAGAACAGGACAACTTCCCAGGAGATATCATATAAACCCAGTTAGCAAGGGCTGATCTGAGGACAGGGAAGAGCTACAGAACACTTTAGAGCCTCAAGCCTCCCAGCACATCCAGGATGATTCAGCAGCTGGGCAGGAGTGAGCCGCTTTTGCAGGCACAAGAGTCAGCTCAGAAAGCTGATGCAGTGAGAGACAGAACACTGCTGCACCATTCCTCTGTGGGACTGAGAGCAAGAGCTGCAGCCGATGGTTCCATCACAGCCAGGAAGAGAAACAAACACAAAACTGAACTCGTACTTCTTGTGTAGACAGGACTTCACAAACATCCCAGAGCCTCAGCGTAGTGACGTTCAAGTTTAAGCCAAATCTCACATCTTTTGGAGACCACTCAATGCAGATGGTTTAATTCTTTTATGTCGTTACTTGTTTTGAAGGTGAAAAATATGGTTTTCTAGGTCTCTTTAAAATTGGATCTGTAACTTGTTCAGTCTTGCAGACAGTTCCTGGGCAGACTTGCATACTGACCTCCATCCACTGAGGATTTTAAAATATCCTCATTGCCAAGGGGCTTGTGAACAGTGACAAAGAGTCTGTAACTTTTAATACTGACTGAAACATGAAAAGCCATTCATTATCCAGTTAAAAATGTGTCAAATCTACAAACTATACAAGTATCTTTCTTTTAAGAGCTGGCAGAATTCACTCTATTGGGATGACTGCAAACAGTTGGCTCCCCCTTGCTCCAAGAGTTAATCATTAGGCCATTATCAGTAAGGCTCTAAATGCAGAAAGCAGAGTCAGTTTTTTGTCAAAGGTCTGGGAAAAAGACACAACACAAAGTCCAAGCCCATCAGCACAGGAAGGTGAAAAAAGATAGTTCATTCCCACTGAGATGGCCTCCAAATATACAAAATAATTTCTAAGCTGCTTGAGAATGTATTTTAAATTCCATTTTAATAGGTGCTAAGTGCATGCAAACAGAAATAATTAAGATGACCAGTCTGCAAGGAGGAAAGCACATAAAAAGAACATGAGTACTTCAAAGAGTTAAGTAATCATAGTAATAGCTATTAATTACATCGTAATTATTAATTATAATGTAAGAGACCTCTGGGTGTTCTTTTGCAAGGAGCTTAAAATAATTTCCAGGCACTACATTAGGTTAAGCAATAGGAAGGCATTCCTGAAACAGTTTTTGAGTAACAAATCCCACTTTAGCAAAAGTATTTCTTTCCACAGAATATCAAAATTCCAACAACATATTTAAGTGTCTCAATAAGATGCATTATGACTAAACCTTGACAAATCTGAAGAAAAGGAAATATTCTGTAATGAAGATTTTCATTATTTGCATTTTCATTATTCATCTGGGTATTTGTTAAACTGGAGGTTAAGTGTATATATTTATAGATTAATAAAGTGATGTTCAATATTAAATAATTATATACAGAAATACACAAATATATAGAACACTTTAATCTCTAGAGTTTTTCTGGGACTAAAAAAGGCTTCTTCCCACCAGTTCTATTCTCAAATATTCTCAGAGGCAAACACCTCAGTTGCTAGTTGTAGACAGGTAATCAAGAATCAGACTTAACTGTCCAAAAGTCATTCAGAGCCAGTGGCAGCATGGAGAGCAAAGTGTGCCTCTGGCTCTCCAGCCTGCTTTGCTGTCAAGGTGCAGGAGCTCAGGATGAAATCTGCTGCCTGGTGCCAGAGGTGAGTGCTGGCGTCACGCTGGGCTGGCGCTGTGCAGTCACGGGCACACCAAGGGCAGCTGGGCGAGCATCATGCTCTGAGCCCAGCGCTGCAGGGGCACAGGAGCAGGAGGGGGCTGCTTCTCACAGACACCACACTAAAACAGATTTTGCACGGAGAATGCAAGATTAAGGCACGCTGCCTGCTGCTTACACAGCTTTTAAATATCTTTTGAACTCTTTTGCTTGGTAAATGTCCTTACTAATGTGGCTTAGGTAGCTGTGTCACTTTTGTTACAGTCTTCTGTGTGCCACAGCCGTTAAGCTCCTGGCAATACTGCTTTTTGGAGGCCCACTTCTATAACCGATGGGAGGTAAGCAAAGTTATGCTTCCTAAAATCTTTTTTCTACCCTACCCTACTTCTTTGTCTGCATTAGAAAGTATCTCACCAGTAAGTTGTGCATTTATTCTTTTTCAATGACTAAAATACCCAAATAATCTCGAAAAGTATGGTAGAGAAAAATAACTCCACTAGTAGCATGTGGCTTATATTCCACATTTAAACACTGCCAAGCAACGAAGCCATTCTGTACATTTTGTTTCACTGAGTTTTAGCATGTTTGAGTCCACTGGAAAACTTGCCTCAGTAGCTTAAAGACATGGGCAGCTTATCTGCTTGGACCAAAAAGTGGTCCTCAAAATATACAAGCTCTATACAGGCGGAGTTGCATCAGAAGTATTTTCTCCACTTCATGTAATAAAGAAAAAACAATAGAAAAACAACACTTTTACATATTCATCTGCAGCTCCAGCTTTTTGTCTTGTGAAGTCACAAAACCACACAACATGCTTACATCACTGCCAAAATTCAAAAACTATAAATAGGTCTATAACCTTTTGCTTCAAATTTGAATATGGGATTCTTTTCAAAAGACAGAAAAGAAAATGGAAAAATTATTACTCAGAAATAAACAATGTCCCTTCTATACAAGTATTGTAGCACATATGTTCAACAGTAACCAAAATGTGATGTCAGAAAAGAAAATAACCCAGAGAATTAGGATTTTTGGGTGAGGATATAAACAGCAGGAACAGACGAGCATTTAAAAATAAAGAGCCTATTATATTCAAATGAAACAAAGAATGAGGAGAAAAAAATAATAAGCTACAAAAATATATCTGTCAGCGAAGCTGTTTTGAGACTGAATGTTTCCCCCATGAGATTCTCAGGAAACACCAGGCACCCTCCAGGTTTAAAGCTTTCATCCCTGGGCTCTGAGCTATATTGGTTTCCTGTATAAAAGGAATCGAGACGAGAAGAAAACATTTGACCGACTGCCCCAGCAATCATACAATGTTTTATACTTGGTGGAGCGCTGCCTAACACAACAAACCCAGCATTGTTACAGAGGACTCAAAGAGTCCAACCAATTATGTCCCTTCATGGCTACGGCTACACTCGCCTTTGATCACCAGTTCTAACTACCAGCAGTAAAGCAAACACAGATCTGCAGACAGCACCAATAGACCTTGCAGTGGGAGTGAACAGAGATACTCTGTGCCCAGTTGGATATTCTCCCCCTTCCCTAAATCACCATCAACATTATCTACTAGTTGTCTACTCTGACTTGCAGACTCAAAGCATGTGAAGAGTAGCTTTACTTTTTTAAGCCAGGTGCATGACATCAAGCAGATTTTTTTTTTTTTAAGAAGTACACTTCAGCAGAATTCTCCAACCACGGTAAAATTCAGTGTCCTAATTACCTGGAATTCATCCGTGCTTTTATTAAACTCTGTTTTTATGCAGACAAAGATGTAATACATGTATTCATTATCAAAGAGTTTATACAAACACTCTTCTTTCCACTTCACTCTTTGTGTGGACTCTTTCCTCAAGATTTTCCTGCTAAACACAAGCTAAGCACTCCTGATTTTCTGGTGATTTGTGCTATTACTTTGCTATGATCTCACAGTGTAGGATTTAATCAGTGAAGAGGTCTGGGCTGAGTGGGTGCCAGGTATTGCTCACCCAACACTATAACTTGGGCTTTTTATTCGCACAGTGCACAAGTTCAACACAACAGACCTCCCATACCAAGAAGCACATAGTCTTTTCAGCTCAAAGGCACAGCTTCAACATAAAAACCACAGTGGTTTTCCTCATGCAGAACAGACAGGTTAAAGGCACAGATCTGTACAAAAGATTAGGAAAGGCAGTCTGGTCCAGCAGTGAAGCCAATAGCCTGGAACCTAGAAATCCCGGCTCTGCCTGTGGCACAGCCTGTGCTGCTGGTGGCACCACACAAAATCACACTGGCCTCAAGCCCTGGAAATGTGCTGGGCCTGAATGCCCTTGAAATCACTTAGAGCCAGGAAAAGAGGGTTTGGGCCTCATTTCCTTTATGCTGCAGTATACTGAAAGATAATACCATTTCTGTCTCTCACCAAGTCCACTGGGCACCCCCTGCAAGAGGGACACCCAGCACACCTGCCCAGGCCACGTGCTGTACTGCTTCAAAGAGACATGAAACCAAATATTAGGTTTCACATCAGCCTCATGCTGCACTTCTAGCAGTAAAAACATGGGATTGCAATCCCACAGACCCCCAAAGAATTAAATAAAATCCAATTCTGTCATCTTTATATCTGTCGTCAGATATTTCTTAGTGACTGGTGGATGCTAACTGGGCTTTATGCCTACTGTCTGCTTTCTCTGGCACATGATTCAGCTCCTGCCACTGCATAAAGTGTTCAATTTATTTAGCTCTGTCTCCCTAACTGGCAGGGCCAGTCCTCTCTTCCCTTCCAGCTCTGCTGGTTTAAACACCTTGCAGTGCCTTTCACTTGGGAGAATCTCTGCATCTACAGCTGGCTGGTAAGAACCCTGTCATGTGTAAATAAAGACAAGACAATGCTTTTTGAACCACATTTCCCAGAAAATAAGGATCTAATAACATTTTTCCACATTCTCTTCAGGTAAAACTTTACATATTATTATTATTATTATTATTATTATTATTATTATTATTTAAAGCTGTAATAATCATGCCGATCCAAAATTTAGGGTGGGAGAATCTGGAGGAAAGGGAGGTAGTTCTTTCTTGCAGTACAGTAAAACATGACTTGTATTCAGTTTCCAGCTTACTATAAACTTCACATATGTTCTCACCACATCTTCCCATTACCCTTGTTCATTTTGCACATGATCCAGACGATATGGCATCTTTTCTCTCATCATTTGTCTGCCTTATCTATTCAAAATATAATCTGGAGAATAACAGATTTCTTTTGCTTTGATGATCTACAGCCCTTAATACAAGAAGAACTTTGTGAAAAACATTAATGTAGTACAGCCACAGCTTTTTTGCTTTAGTAGTACTACTTACATCTGGATGAAGAGGTAATGCATGCCAAATAAGTAGTAAAAGCCAAAACAATGTGTGTTAGCCAAAAATCCTACTCAAGACTTATAATTTACAATCTGTTAAACTCGTGCCTTTATGATTTTGAAAAATGGTCTGCATAACTTCTAAGCAAAACCCCACAAGAAAAGAAGAAAGTAAGCACCAAGGAGAGAAAAGTCAAAGAAACATCAGGCACAGAATTAAGACTACATAGAAATTATAAACAAGCCCTTATGCAGAAACAGAGTAGGTAAAATCCAGTATTTACAGCAAGTAAAACTGGATTTAAATAATTACCACCCTATAATAAATTGGGAACACAGTAGATGTGTGAGGGAGACACAAGGTGAAGTTGCATCTAATGTGGTGATTCACCCTTACTCAGAAAATCTACTTGCTACTATACTAGTTGGTGTCAGGCTGCATTTTATTCAAGCCAATAAAATCTTTTGTGTGGTCTCTTGACCCCCACTAATTGTCTAATTTACATTTAAGACAATAATGTTGCTTAGTAATTTTAAAAGGAAGTGTTCCCACCCTGGAGTGTTATCCCTGCATCTCTTCTGAAGAAACCTTAAACTGGTGAATGCTGCAAGTGAATGGGAGTTCCCTGCATCCCAGTTTGTAATTATCTCTCTTAATTGGTAAGGCTTTACATACTAATTCTATCTGGCATGCTCAGAGAAGGCGAAATCTGGAGTTATTCTGATTTACCCCATCCTGTGGAGTTTAGAGGAAAAATAAAATTCTCTCCCAAGCAGGCTCAAGGCATGCAGGATAGAGTCCATAGAGACGTGCAGACTTAACATGTTTTAAGGACCTTGCATTTAAAAGAGTAAACCCATCTTGACATTCTGGATGTCAAAAGTCAGTACAGAACTCAAAGAGAGTCTCAGAGAGCTGTGCAGCTTCTTAGGCCCAAACCTTACTGTACTAGAGGCAGGAGCTGCATGTGTTGAGAGAAAAACCTAAAGAAATTATTCCATCTTTTCTACACTAATAAGCAAAAGTGGTGGAAAATGCTAAGTGATCTACAAAAGAAGCAATCTTCTTCTGCTGTGACATGAGTGGAGAACTTAGGCAGCTAAACACAGACAGAACTGGAGTCAGCAGGTATGTTTCTCAACATTGCATTTTGCTAATTTGCATATCTCATTGCATTTTGCTCAACATTTGCATATCTTGCTAAATATCAAGCAGGTATAAAAACAACTCAGAATGAGGTAGACCCCACTAGATATTGTGTTTGGTAAGTATTACCCCACTTATAGGTAGTCCACCAGCTGAGGCCACTTCCATCTGCAGTCTCTGTGTGTGCATACAAGCTGAAAGTAGAAGCTGTTTCAGACCATGGGGTGCATCAGGAATTACCAGTATCACTGGTTTACATAAATCTGTTAAAACACGCCTGTTTTGCTACCCATTTTCCCTAGGTCCAAAGCCACACCACTATCCAGTACCACATTCCTTACACCAGTGTGACTTTGTGGAGGGATGTGTATAAATAAAATTGGATTGGATCTGCAGATCTGAGCTGATAAGGGGAAAAAAAAATTGCTGCTGGATATTTTTGTGTGTGGAGATGTTCAACCTGGATCATTTCAGCACAGACCCACAAACAGCTGCATCAGCACAACAGAGCAGCAAAAAACTAGCACCAGAAACAGGCATGAGCAGCAGGGGTAGGAAACAGGAATTCCTTAGTTTGTCTTTTGTCAAATCCAATTTATGTAACAACTAATTACATCTTTAGATTTTCCAAGTGGGGGAGGGAAACAATCCCTAGTTCTTAAGACAAGATCTGATGTAAATTATTTTATATTGCTTGTATGTACACAAGAAACAAGACTTGGACATACTGCATTCACTTTTGAGCTCTGTTCTGAATTGAACTAAGGGAGTTGTTCCCTAAATGATTTCTGGGATTCAACTAATCACAACTGATTAAATCATCTCAAACTTGCCAATT